TCCGATTATTCCATAACGTACACTTCTAGTAGCACATTAACAGTATCTGAAAAACCCTCAAGTATAGAAACCACATATTCAGGACAAGACACTGAATCACAGGGAATTCCAATCTCACAGGAAGCAATCGACACTAAACCCAACCAAATTTTAGTGCTCAGCTGGAACATAGATAAACTATCTGTAAAAAACTTATCTAGAGAAAAACAAGGAATCCTAGAAGTACACTTACCTTTAAACCGACCAGATTTAGTAAAACAATTTCTGAAAGAATATATTAGGAATAAAACCAAATACTTCATTTTCTTTGAAAATGTACTGACATTGTACAAACACACACAAATGTAATAACACCGTAAACAAGTTTACGGAATTAGTAATTTTCTTATTTAAAAGGGAACTTGTACAATTTTTCGAATGCACCAAAAGAGTTGTATATGTAGATAATGAGAAAGAACAAAGAGACATAGTCCAGAAATATCATGTCGGAAAAACTTGCCATCGTGGTATTAAAGAAACCCTATTGCATATAAAACGCTCATACTTTTGGCATAATATGGGCCCAAATCATAGCCAGTGTCATAAATTCATGTGACACATGTAAAAGTATGAAATATGATCGGAACCCTATAAAGCCTAAACTCCAATTGACGCAAACCCAAAATAAACCCCTTAAAGAAATTTTCATAGATCTCTTTAAAGTCGAAGGTCACTGTTAAGTGTGTTAGGGTCTATATTCGTATAGCAAGTGATTCGAAAAAAAGAAACTACGTATTTATGTTATGACCGTTTACTTGAGACTAAAATTCACGAAATGCACACTATGCAGTTAATGTCACCTTACGACCTTGACACACCGGCTGCCAATAACAACTGTTTTTAAATACATTATGTATACATAAAAACAATCTTAGTTCATAAACATGAAAATAACTTATACGCATTACAAAATTATTCAACCGCCTAAGCAGTATACATAAACGTGTTTTTTTTTTACAATTCATAATAGTATATACAGTTAAAAAAAACATAACCTTACTTACATGAATTATTGAATAGACATAAAGTAATGAACTAAAGAGGAATGCCCACTCTTCATAGACATTTCGGCCATGGGTGCCCACATATAAAAGCATATAGATATTATAATATACAATTAAAGGAATGAAATGGTTAAGAAATTGGTTTAAAAAAAGTCGGGTATTTTAAGATATAAAAGTTTTTATTTTCACAAATACAGTTTTTTAACAACTAATTTTACCGATGTTATCGCATTTAATTTCTTTGATTTTTAATTCCCGACTTTCGGGTGCTTTCCAGCACACATGGTCATGGGGGATTGAGGTGACTGGTGTACCGAAATCAGTGTTAACTTGGAGTAACTTCAGCTTTTTAATAACTATTTATGGTCCGATCTACGCAGAATGAACTTACTGTCCTGAAGTCTTGCATGGTATGCTTGGGTTTAGTTTTAATTTTATTAATTACAGTGTCCCAAGCAGGTGGAAATACCCAGCTTCATTCTCTATTGAAATTAGAATGTTTGAATATGGGTGCAATACATTACCGACTTCAGATTGCAACGAGGATGAATTAGATGATTCAGATGGTTCCCGTTCTGCAGTTGAATGTGATGCTGCTCTATCAAACCTTCGCCAACAATTATGACACACACGAGATGACGATGGCAACTGAAATAATATTAAATAAAAAAGTGAAAAAGTGAACTAAATAAAAATAAAATAGATTTGTTTCCTTTAAACTCAAATACATATAAAATATTTACTACTTAAATGGTAGTTACTGATTCTACATTCTGGAGGTACATAGTAATTGTATTCACAAAAAGACATACCCGCAATGTTAATGGAACTGTGAGTTGATCGGAATAGTTACAACCAGGAAAAAACATTGATTTTGTGTGAGTGGTGGTCTTACAAAATTAGGCAGCAGTATATTGTACGATGTATGATCTAAGCTTTGTTGTTTTAGGTTCAATATATTACTCACTTTAGATTGCAACGAGGACGGACTAGATGATTCAGATGGTTCCCGTTCTAAAGTTTAACGTGATGCTGCTTTATCAGTCCTTTGCCAGCAATCATGACACGCGATGACGATGGCAACTGAAATAATATTAAATAAAAAAAATAAGACAAAGTGAACAAAATAAAATAGATTTGTTTACTTTAAACTCAAATATAGGTAAATGTTACTTAAAACTTAATGCCCTATATTTTTAATAATTAAGGACTGACTGCCTACCAGTAGTACAAAAACAATTAAAAATCGACTTTCTCATTTCTTGGTATTTGATAAAAATTGTCCATTTTGTAACTATCAGGGGACCTAGACAAAATCCGTTTTCTGTAAGCGTTAACGCCAACGGAAAAATCTAATTGTATGGAGTTGACATTTGCTAACCAGATGTCACGTGATTGCTGCTTAATTGGTAGACAAAGTCATTATTCCTCATGTGAAAAGGAACTTCGGAGTGAGCGTGACACGCTAACGACAAAAATGTTCATCAAAATGGTAGACAATTGCCACTTTTGACAGACGCCAATGATATTTTGACATTTCCGCAACACGCTATATTAGCGGGAGATCGGACCCAGACGCTAACGCTAGAAACGAGTAAACAGTGATATTTTGTGTGTCTTTAATTCAAATTAATTAGTGAAAATGCATACTTTGAGATTATTATGGCCAGCTAATAATGAAACAACATTGCAAAGACGTCAAACAAGAGTAAATCGTCGTGAAATGGTGCAAATTGTGGAGATGGAGGAATTGGAATTTGTTCATCGTTTTAGGTTAGATAAACAAAGTTTTTGGCGTCTTTGTGATGATCTTCGGCGTTTAACGTCATTGAAAGGTACCCGGGAAATTAATTTAGAAATCAAGGTAAATTTTGTACCTACGTATAACCTTTCAACAGAGTTAAGTACTTAATGTTATTTCTCAATGAAATCATGTTTCAGGTTTTGTGTACTCTTAACTTTTAGCAACGGGTTCATATCAACGCATTGTTGAACTAACGCAGCATTTGGTACAAAGAACAACTAGTAGGCGTATACGTCAAGTTGTTGAAGCATTGAGCCATCCAGCCATTCTAAATAAATGGATTCTGTTTCCAAGGTCGCAACAACAAAGAGCCCAAATAAGACTTGAGTAAGTTATGATATGACAAAAGTGTTTAAGTATAAATGCATACTTGAAATACTTTTTATTAGTAGCATATTCTTTGATGTACTAAACACTATACCTTCCTTAAGGCCGATAGGTACTTAGAAAATGCCTCATTGAGCCTTTCATGCACACTAGGTTCAAAATACTAGTAAAAACATCTGTCCTTTTAAAAACAAAATAATTAAGTATTATATTTTCCAAAATTACGGGTTTCAGAGGCGATTTAGACTCCCGGGTATAGTTGGATGCATAGACTGTACCCATGTGGCCATAGTCAAGCCACCAGATGAAGAACATTTATTTTTTAATAGGAAAGGTTATCATTCATTGAATGTACAAATAGTAAGTTTGCATTTGTTCGTGGCTCAATTTTGTAAAAATAGCTTTAATTAGTACTTACAGAAACATATTCATAGGATTATTATACACGTTCCATAATTTTTCCTGTCAACAGGTATGCAACAGTAATTTAAAAATTACTGATGTAAATCCAAAGTTTGGCGGAGCTACCCATGACTCACTCATTTGGGCATCTAGCAGAAAGGAAACATTTATGCGAGAATTGCACCAAAATGGAGAACAAGTGTGGTTATTTAAGTAGGTAAATAAATAATATGGTATATTTTTAGATAACACTTTTGTTAAAACTTTTTTTCAAAAAGAATTATATTGTTGCGTAGCAAATAATTATTACCTAATGCAAATATTTATTTATGTATTTTTAGGTGATTCTGGATATCCTCAGCGGCCATGGCTGATGATTCCCATATTAAATGCAGTTCCTGGCTCAGTTGAAGATTCATATACTCAGCGACATGTACAAGCAAGGAACTGCATAGAGCGCTGTTTTGGATTGCTAAAGTCACGTTGGAGGTGTTTATTAAGACACAGGACCTTGCATTATCATCCTGAGGTTGCTGGGAAAATTGTACTTGCCTGTTGTGTGTTACACAATATGGCTTTAGAGGCCAATTTACCTCCTCCACCTATTATGGAAGTAGAAGAAGACGATGCTCAACCTGACAATGCATCTGATAGCGTTGGTGCTGCTAGTGATCAAAGTGAGCTACTCCAAGGCAGGGCTGAATAATCTTTTATCAAGACTTTAAAAGTATTTCTGAGTTTTTAGTGTATAATGGTAGGTGTTGTGTGATTTTTTTTTATTCCTTTTTTTTAATTTAGGGACTTACGTTATGTGATTTGTGAAAGCAATGTAACAAAACCTTATTTCTAATTTGAAGGTATATCGAAATTAAAGGTCAAGGTTTTCTGTCAGATATGTTCCATTAATAAAATTATACACTATCCAAATTTTACTGTACAATAAATTTTATGTTAGTAAGTAGTAGATATAGAGTTATAATTTTGTTTTGTAATTTTAATTTTATCCTTTTGCTGTGCCCAGGGTTTATGTTTTGTACCTAGCTTTAAATGAATATGATTATAAACAAATAAAATTTAATTACATTATGCATGGAATACATGTCATAGTTTATAGGAGAATATCATGTTACTTAAATTGTAATTTTGTCTAGTACTTGTACTAAAGTATTTCTTAGTTGTTAGTGTAATGGTATGTAATAAGTAATTTGTGAAACCAATGTAACAAAATCTCATTTTCAAGTAAAGGATCAAAATTAAAAAGGTATTTATTTTCTTTAAAATATTTTTCATTATTAGAATTATATACTATGCACTATTAAATCTAAATTAAAAAATGGAAACAAATAAAATATAAGTAATACTAATTACTTAGCACAGTCAAATAAAATTACATTAGGGGTAGAATAAATTATGTTACTTAAATGCTAATTCGGTCTCAAATCACGAGTCTCCAATAGTGACATAAGAGCTGTAATTTTTAAATTTAATTCTTGGATGTAGTCACGTAGGTCTGCCTCTACGCGGGTGCGGACTTCTTCGACCCGAACGCGCTCTCTATCCAGTTGCAGACGTTGTACTTCTATTTTGAGTCGTTCAGTTTCAAGCTCGTGTTGACGCGCATCCCTCTCCCTTTCGAAACGCAAGCGATTCACCTCTATTGCTACAAACTCGCTGGTGGCTCGGTCAAATGATGTTTGTCGCAGTTTTCGCTGTCTGAGACGGCGATGACGAGGTGTAGAAGGGCCGGCAGATACCAGCGACCTTTCTGAGAATACAGATGAAAGCTATAATATACTAAAGAAAACTAACGAAATATGGTGGTGATGGTGGTTCTATCTATGGTGGCAATGAAGTTATTTAATAATGTTGGTAGTTTCAATTACTCATAATAATTAATATTCAATAATTTTAATACCTTTACAAAATTAATTTTGTAATAATTACCTCCTTGTATAGTTCTACTATTTGAAGGTCCTGGCACAGGACTGACAGGATGTGCTGGTGGAGATGTTACATTTGCTGGCACTGTTATGGGTGTATCTTCTGCAGCTGATTGTAATTCCAAGAGCTCAATTTCTGCTGGTGATGACATCCTCCCTGCTGTATCAGCTGTATTGCTCACTTGAGGTTGAGATGGTTCCTAAGTACAAAAATATAACCAGTTGTTGACCAGAAATATAAAAGTTTTTATGAAATCAGCAAAACAAGAAAAAACATTAATATATGAAGGGTTCACTTACTTGAAAGCCTACTTCTTGTATGGCTTGACTTCCAGTAATTGCGGTGATTGGGGTCACCGCAATTACTGTGACACCAATTACACGTAACACCCTTTCCTCAAGTCGACTTAATGGTTTTCCCCTACCAGACCCACCACCAGTGCCATGAATGTCCCGATTTATAAGGGAGGCTTTCTTTTTTGCTTTGGTTTTCCAGTCAGCCCATACCTGTAGCACAAAATATGAAATAATACATTAAAATAAATGGTCTTCATAGGTACTATGCAACAGCAGTACATACTTTGCTTAATAATTAATATCTTATTACCCTTTTCCATTTGTCGGAAGTTTTGTTAACACCACATCCACCCACTGAGTTTAAAATTTCAGCTAACTCTTGCCACAGGCGTTCACTCCTTACCCTTCCTTGAAGTCCAACTTATGGCCTTGAAAGATCACCATGGCTAAAAATAATATTCATAAGATTAGTGTACAATGAGAATAAGAGCCAGTAAACAAAGTTTGGTATTAACATTCTAATACCCTGTCTAAGAAACAAGTATTAAGGTTTGGAATAGAGTTTATCTTTATAAGAATAACAAAATGTAAGAACCACAATCATATAAGTGCACCATTGTGAGGTTGTTTACATTATGCATTCCACATTCTCAAGTAGGTCCAATACTAGTTAAAACAGGGAACAAAATTTAAATAATGCTAGTTTTTACGGAATTTATCGCGTATATTTAACTTTTTAAATACCTGACGTTTAGAGCGCTTTACAGCACCCATGGTCACGGGGGGGATAAGTTCCGTAAAAACTAGTATTATTTCATTGAAATAATACTAATTTTTACGGAATTTATCGCGTATATTTAACTTTTTTACCCGACGTTTCGAGAGCTTTACAGCACCCATGGTCACGGGAAGGACTGAGATGTTCAACGTCCAGCTGTCATAGTTAACCGCGGTTACCATAGATTAAAATTTAACTTTTGTTAAAAGTTTTAAAAGTTAAATTTTTAATCTATGGTAACCGCGGTTAACTATGACAGCTGGACGTTGAACATCTCAGTCCTTCCCGTGACCATGGGTGCTGTAAAGCTCTCGAAACGTCGGGTAAAAAAGTTAAATATACGCGATAAATTCCGTAAAAAATTAGTATTATTTCAATGTGTAGTGTTCGCGTAAATATAAGAAATCATTAGTATTATTTCAATGTGTAGTGTTCGCGTAAATACAGGGAACAAAAATTGGAATAATTGAAAACATTTGGAAAAAACCTACCTTTCCATAAATTCTATTAGCAAACTAAATTGTTCGGGACTCGCACGAAGTCTAGTATCCATATCGCAGTTCTTACAATGTCTTCACTAACTTTTTTGTAATAAAATACTTCAATAACTTTCAACACAACACTTTTAAATAATATTCTAAGCGCGCGTTTGCGTTTGACAGTGACAGATGCTGACGCAATTGACACTTGCTACACACTATTCCATAGACTAATTAAAGAGTGTTTCGGGTAACGCTGCGGAATGGGCGTTCAGCGTTCTGTGTGTAACTTGTCTACCAATTTCAATACGCTAACGTCAAGTCCGTAGCGTGAGCGGAAAACGCTTGCACGGGAAACGCTTGGATTTTGTCTAGGCCCACAGGTGTTAGCTAGCTAATCTTATCGCCATGTTATAAATAAGCTATTATGTTTGTCAGATATAGCTTGTGCATATGTTAAAAAATAAAACAACTTCATCATTTCATTCATTCATCACTATCAAATATCAGCACTAGAATTATTAAATTAAAACTGTTAAACACTTACTTTTAACTGTTGTCACACTATAATGTGATCGACAATCTCACTTCATATGAGTTCTTGAGAATTTATATGTAAAATAACAAACAAAATAACACAATTGCGACTATTTAGTTGTGAATTCTCTAGTATCTTTTTACTTGTTGAATTGTGATTTCATTTTCATTCCCAATTCGCATGACATATTTCCTAGCTGTCAGATTTGATGTTGCCACATAACTAACATAAATACACAGTTTAATCTGTGCATAAATACAATGAAACGATATCGATTTTTATTCGATTAGTAATTTAATAAAAAAAGTAATATATGAGGCGCTTTAAGTTCTACACGCTTTTTAAAATATATTTTCTTTTATTTATTTAAATTCTTTTATCAATGTATTTTTAAGAACAGTTAAAATGTGGATTAGCGTATTATCATGCTCTAAACAGTTCATGGTGAATCAGCTAAAAATTCACTTGTTTAATTATCATAACATGATTCCATTTTAAATGTATTGTTAAAACAGATAACAATTACTGTTAAATTGTGCAGCAGCATTTTGTTATACTCTAAAGAATTCATAGTAAATCAGCTAGTAATTCGCTTTTTTAATTATCATAACATCATAATATCGATTCGATTATTATTCGATTAATAATTCCATAAAAAGAGAATAATCTTGGAGGTGCTTCTGCTCGCTTTTTAAAATGTATTTTCCTTTATTTATTTAAATTCTATTTTAAGTGTATTTTTAAACAATAACAATAAAATAGTAGTAAACCACAGCACTACTCTCCATCCTAATGACGACACTGTCGCGACTGGACGACAACGGCGTAGCTGACCTTCCTTTTTGAAACATTCTTAGAATGTTGTGTATCGATTTCAAAATCGATCTAACCGAAATATACAGACATCGATTCATAATATTTTATGTGTCGGGGAAGGCGTAGGCCAAGTGACGCACAGAAGAAAAGTCTTACACTCTTATGACAATGGGGATTTGATATGATGCTGATACTGCTAGATGATTTTGAGACTGAGAAAGAAAATGGCACAACACAAAATGAAAAATTGCTCTTCACACCCTAAGTAAAAAGAACATTAATTGTAATTTTGTATCATTATTAAAGAAGGTACATAATTATTCATTAATCAACAATTGTATATAATTATTCGCACTAGGTAAATCAGCCTTATAATACTAAAATCTTGGTCATGGAATAAATAAACATATTTGTTCACCAATCAATCAAAAAACACCATTGAGCTGAATTTTTGATAGTTTTCAAGAAATCTATGGCACCCGCGTTTGACACTAGCGGTCAACCATAGACGACTTTGGCGTGCAGGACATATTATTTGCTTAGATAAAAATCCATTTTTATTAGTTCAATGTTTCTTAGTACTTGTGGCTCTAGAAGACTTGTTTTTTATACTCACATGTTGCTGGGTTACTCCTATTTTGAGGAGTGTAGAATTAAAATACCTGTAATAATTTTCCAATATCTATATTTCATATTTTTCGAAGCCGGGTTTTTTGTCAACTATAGACGTCGTTGGTGCTCAGGGCCCGCAGGTGTTGGTCAAGTATAGGCGACTTTGGCGCTCGAAAGGTTAAAGGATTCATGGTAAATCAGCTGGAAACTAACTTGTTTCGTTATCATAACATGATTCTATTTTAAATGTATTGTTATAAACAGATAAGAATAACTTAACCGATCTTCTTTAAAAACAGATAAGAATAACAGTTCTTATCTGTTTTCAAAGAAGATCGGTTAAGATTAACAGTTAAATTGTGCCGTAGCATTTGTTACTCTCTAAAGAATTCATTGGAAATCAGCTAGTAATTCGCTTGTTTAATTATCGTAACATCATAATTATTTAAAAATTATATTAGCACTGTAATGATGACACCGTAAATAATCGATCGAAAAAGAGAATCGATTTTTTAAATGTGTTTTGTGATTGGCAACACTTTTTTTATTCACAAACTAATGACATAATGATTTACCTAATTTTTATTATTATGTTTCCGGTACTTTTAATTTGTGCAAAAATATTCCCATTGATTGAGGATAAATGAATACCGCGATTAATAACCATAAATAAAGATATAATTTTTTAACAAATTCACATTGTTGGGCGTTCCATGGCCGAAAATGGGCGTCCCCCTTTAAAGTTCTTAAATAACTATTTTTTTAAACAATTAGTTCACAACTATACGTAGCTAATATTACATACGTAGGCGGTCCCATAATGAATTGGCCTAACTATGAACCAATGAAGGAAATGAAACGAAACCAATTTTATTTTTCAATATAATCACCATGAATACTAACACACTTCTGACATCTGTGAATCAACATCTCTAAACCTTTATAAAAATAATCACATTTTTTGTCCTCAAAATGACTGAACACGGCCGCCTGCAACTCTTCATCGCTTGAAAATTTTCTTCCTCTTAAGTCCCGCTTTAAATTTGGAAATAAATAATAGTCGGACGGGGCCATGTCTGGACTGTAAGGTGGATGTTGAACTTCTGTGAACCCGCATTGACGAACTGCATTCTTCGAAACACCAGCGGTATGAACAGGGGCGTTGTCATGGAGCAACAGGACACCTTTAGACAGCTTGCCTCTTCGTTTTTCCTTTATCTTATCACGTAATTTATATATTAAAGAAGTATAATATTCGCCGTTCACGACTGTATTACGTTCTTTAAAATCCACCATCAAAATGCCTTGAAAATCCCAAAATATTGTGCACATCAGTTTTTTAGTCGATTGTTGCACCTTTGCCTTTCTAAGGGGCTTTTCACCCTTATAACGCCATTCCATTGACTCGCGCTTGCTTTGTGGATCATAATACAAGATCATAGTTTCATCACCAGTCACTAGCCGCTCGATCACAGTTTTTGGACTTTCGCCACAAAGATCCGAAAACTCCGAAGCGCAGCGCACTCTTTCCTCTCTCTGTACCGCTGAAAGAAGTTTCGGTACCCATCTTGCACTCACTTTTTTCATGTGAAGTTGTTCATGGATCGCGCGATGAACGGTACTCTTAGAGAGCCCAAGCCTTGCTGCAATTTCTCTAATCTTCAAACGGCGGTCACTCAGAACCTTCTCTTTGATAAGAGCAATCGTTTCGGGAGTGAGCACTTCCACAGGTTGACCGTCGTGGCCAGTCTTCGACGGTTTCTCTCCCGAGGCGAAACTCTTTCACCCAATTTTTCACTGTGCTATAGGAGGGGGCAGACTCCTTATACACGCCATCCAATCTTTCTTTTATTTGGGCAGGGGATAAACCTTCTTTAAACAGAAACTTTATGACACTTCGATACTCAGTTTTCGACATTTTGAAAAAATACGCGACTCTCGTTATTCAAATGTTCCTGTTAAATTAAGACTAAGCATTTCATGTCGATGCATGTTTCTTATATTAAGTGCGCGATAAACGCACTATTTAATGCAACACAACATGTAGCGACATGTCGCGTTGAACTATATCAGGCCAGTTCATTATGGGAGCGCCTGGTATCTCTAGTGGACTGTATAATATTTTTTTTAACAAATTCTAATATGTAAATAACAAATTTTTACTGTAGTAACTCCACTTAATTAACATAATGTATTGCTTATCGCGTGTATATAAACAAAGGTTCAATTTTACATGTAAATATGAGTAAATATAAAATATCTTAATTAGTTGATCACCATTTTTAGTTCTCAGGTTTGATAGGAAGTAAAATTAGTTTTGAAAGGGGTCGCTTCATCACAACATTTCCCTTGCACCTTACAGAAACAACACGAACCAATGTGTCTGAACCTGGGTGTAAGGTGATTATTTTTCCTAAAAGCCACTTACATGGAGGCAGATCTTCTTCCTTTATTATGACTATATCCCCAATGGATGGGGATTGTACAACCCTTTGCCACATATCTTTGTTGTAAGGTTTGTTAATAACCTGCTTGCCATCTTTTCCAAAAATCTTGAATTCTGTTTTGAATGAACTGCCATCTCGTCAACAGATTAACGTTTTTATTGACATAATCGTTTTCAGGAAGACCAATTAGTGGCTCACCAATTAGTGGTCCTAGTGTTAATGGATCAAGGGTTTTTCTAGCGTATCGTCCATTTGGCATAGAGGTCGCGAATTGAGGCATGCTTCAATTTGAGCCAGTAATGTCGTCATCTCCTCGTAAGTCAACCTAGTTGCACCACTTATATGCTAGATAGATGTTGTTTAGCGGATTTCACACCGGCCTCCTATAAACCACCGAAATTTGGAGGGTTTGGTGGTATAAAGTGCCACGTGGTGCCATCGTTGGCTAAAGGTTCAGCTATTTCCTTAGCCATGTTGTTCTTACCAATTTCAAACATATGTTTCAGTTCACTTGCAGCGCCTACAAAATTAGTGCCATTGTCACTCCACAAATGTGAACAATGGCCTCGTGCAGCAACAAGTCTTCGAAAGGCTGCAATAAATGCTTGCAAAGTAAGGTCGGTGACACATTCCAAATGTATTGCCTTAGTCGACATACACA